GGGGACTGAGAGCTCCCTGCTGTACAAACAACTCACACTTCTCCACAAATGCAGCCATGCAGAGATGAAACAGACAGCACAACTGCAGCTTTCTTCATTTTAAAATATCATGTACAACAGCCATGGATAAAAAACAGGATTTAAACACAGTAGTAACACTTTACAAGATCTACACAGACAAAGTGGGGTTCACTGCTAGTTATGTAAAGCAAACACATTTCCATCTAAATATATTCCTTAAATGTTATTAAAGAAAACAATGCAAAATACAGGAACAGATGTCTCTCCACAGCAGTGAAATTTAACAAAAAGGATCAAAGGAAAGTAACCGGTGGAGCCAAAGGCTCTACATTTTAGTGTCTAAATTGTGAAAGTCTTATGGCCATGAAAGGTCTGGGCACTGGCCAATGGCCAGTATAATCGGATCATTTTTGTTGCGAAAATGTATGAAAACAAACACACACACACAAAAGGATGTGTCTTTTAAGCTGCCCCTTTAACTTGCCAAAACTCATACATCTTCATAGACGGCGCATTATGAGTATGCCATTGCACTGTCACTCCTCAGTTTCCTTTGATGGCACACTCTGACCTTAATCCCTCTTCTTTAGTTTACCATCACTCTTGTTTTGGCAGCGTCGCTCCAGCTGATGATGGGAGAGCTTTGTTAAAATGCCCTGCGAGGTCGCTGACAGCACTTGAAAGTGTTCCTTATCCGTGCTGTAACCTTTAAGACTACAGATTGCAGCTCCCATCTTACCTCTGCTGGCAGCTACTGCAAGGACACTCTGAGCCTGAGGAGATGCCTTAACATACCACGTGTTTTGGCACATGAAGCACAAAAGCTGTGTGTGCTGTGTACGTGGTATTTCCCAGTTGTTTGTATGACTGCTGCCAAGATTGTAGCATAAATTATGCTTCCAGGTGAACAGGCTTTGTTTACTTTGCACATAAATTCATGAGATTTTTTGTTTGGATATCGTTCACTGTCTTTTTGCTTGGCAACAGAAACGAAGCAAGCCATATTAGTTGAACCCTTTTTGAATTTTAAAACTAGTTCCGTTCGGAGTGCGCAGTATATTTACCTGCCACTTTATTTGAAACCCCTACCTTGTAGATCCACCTTGCTGGCAGAGATTGTTGCCCATTTCTGTTAGTTATCCTCTAGGCCAGGGGTCGGCAACATGCGGCTCTGGAACATGCAGTCCTCCTGTGCAGTAAAATCAAGCTCAGCTGATCTTTTTTAACAAACTGTTCTAACACGATTTTACGAAAAACTTTGGAGTTAATGTATAACTGTAAATTAACCCATTTACCCTGAAGGTTGGCGAGCAGGCTGCTGGTCACCGTAGGTTGTGAAACTGTAGCTCCTCGTTCATAACCTTTTGTTCGAATTGTCCTGTTCCACCTTAAATGGTGCAACAGTTACATTCTGCCGCCTCAGGCACCATTTAAGATGGACTTCAGCTTCCTAAAAAATGAATGTTAAACATTTTACAAGAAACTGTTCTGCTTTTGAGGGAACGTTTCCTGATGGAGATGCGAGAAAAGCAAGTCTGCACTTTTTCGAGACATATTAAGACATATTTACAGCCAAGATGATAAAACGTTACTTCAATACAATGGACATAAAATGTTGTGGCTCCCAAGGTGGTTTGATATTTGTTAAAAGGATAAAATGGCTCTTCTTAACATTTGGGTTGCCAACCCTTGCTCTAGGCCTTCGTCAGTGGTCAGTTTCTGACCACAGAGTGCTCCATATTGCTGTGTCTGATGCACTCTTACCAGCACCACACACACTACCATGGCCGCTAACTACGATGTCTGTAGTCATGTGGTCAGAAATTGACCAATTATGGGGTAGAAGGGGGCTGTCAACAGATGGGCTACTGTGCCCCTTTATAGTGTGCCTGTAAGGCAGGTGGAGCTCATAAATAGACTCCAAAACATGTTTCTAATAAAGTGGACAGTCATTGTACATTGTTGGCTAATTATTATCTCACCGTTCACATCTGCAGCATAATATCACCAAAGGCTGAAATATACAAATAGATGTTTCAATATAGGAACAGCGGGACTTCCCTCTTATCCTAATGCAGTCATCAGCCAACATGTCTAAAGTTTGCTTTGTCAGACTTGCACTGGAGTTACAAGGCTGATGTAGCTAGAAAGTAGTGGAAGCTTTACCGACCTATTAGCACTGTGTGAACAGCATGACTCAATCATCACACACAACACACTATTCTCTCTAAAAATGGACAAAAGTATGGACTGAATTCCGTCTTCCAAATGGCTACTACTACTGTTTGTAGCTCTGTGACAGAGTACCGTGCAAAAGTTAGATACCATCTTTCATTTATTTAAAACAGCTGTTAATTTTCTCATTTTTCAGCTTTAGAAAAGAAACATATCTTAAACAGAGAATTGCAGAGAAGCCTTAACAACTGAATATAATATTTTCTTCAGTGTTTAGCATGTGCACCTTTGCCTTCTATTCTCTTTGTGAGGTTTGCTTTCAGTTTATCAAAGAAATCTACCAGGATGTTTTTCCACACCTCCAAAGTTCAGTTGTAGAAGTTGGTTGACTTTTCCATTTCTTATATCTGATATCTATCCTGTACCTAATCTCCTCAGAAATAGCTCCTGAAAATGAATGAACTAACTTGTACCATTTTGATTGGAAATTAACATTGGTGGACAGTAACGAAGTAAATGTAATTCGTTACTGTACATAAGTAGTTTTTTCGTTTATCTGTACTTTACTGAAGTATTTCCATTTTGGGCGACTTTTTACTTTCACTCACTACATTTCAAAGTCAGATATCTTACTTTTTACTCCACTACATTATGCAAAATCTGTCGTTCCTTTTGGCTTATGTGTGCATAAAAATGTAACATGAACACCAATCAGGGCACAGCGCGCTCTTTATTTTGAGCTTGTTTTGACCTGCTGGACATACCGACCCAGTGCAAGCATACGGTTCCACATCAGTGCAGCAGCGTAAAAGTTTGGGAGTGCCTA